ACTTGCTAGACTTAACTCTAAATTTGGTACATATTTAAACATGTAAAGTGAACACTTGCTAGTCTTAACTCTAAATTTGGTACATATTTAAACATGTAACGTGAACACTTGCTAGTCTTAACTCTAAATTTAGTGCATATTTAAACATGTAAAGTGAACACTTGCTAGTCTTAACTCTAAATTTAGTGCATATTTAAACATGTAAAGTGAACACTTGCTAGTCTTAACTCTAAGTTTAGTGCATATTTAAACATGTAACGTGAACACTTGCTGGTCTTAACTCTAAGTTTAGTGCATATTTAAACCTGTAAAGTGAACACTTGCTAGTCTTAACTCTAAATTTAGTGCACATTTAAACATGTAAAGTGAACACTTGCTAGTCTTAACTCTAAATTTGGTACACATTTAAACATGTAACGTGAACACTTGCTAGTCTTAACTAAAAATTTAGTACACATTTAAACATGTAAAGTGAACCCTTGCTAGTCTTAACTCTAAGTTTAGTGCATATTTAAACATGTAAAGTGAACACTTGCTAGTCTTAACTCTAAATTTAGTGCATATTTAAACATGACATTTTTTAGTTTTAATTCTAGATTTAGTGCATGTTTAAAGATATAACCTGGACACTTTCTAGTTTTATCCCTAAATTTAGTGCAAGTTTAAAGGTATAAATTAGACACTTTCTAGTTTTAATTCTAAATTTAGTGCATGTTAAAGATATAAATCGGACACTCTCTTGTTTGACCTATACATTTCATTCTAAACTCTTCCTCATTTGAATACAGCTCGCGAATATCGCTAATCTTTTAACGCCACCATTATTATTTAAGAAACTCAAGGAGATACGGTTGTTATGCGTAATCTCTGCGAATAGCTTGTATTGATAATCTTCCTAATCTCTTTCGCCAACAAGCATGAACATTTTGAGTTAACTGTACTTTTAGTTTCGATAATCACGGTTTGTTATTCTACACAATACGTCTATCGTTCTCCTGTTTTTTATCGGATTAAAAAAAATAACTACAATGAAATGTTGAACTTTCGCTTCTTTTTAGCGAACAATGCCAACATTATCAATCTTATCATGCTTACAGGTAAAGGACAAACCTCCATAACCCATCGTGTGTATTGATGGTCTTATCAGTTGGAAACTTTAATTTCTAGTCAGTCGAGCAAGCCCACACAGGAAGGCCAGGTATATGAGAAACAGACATTATAAACTACTTTATCCTGTATACCGTGTGTGGGACAGATTGTAGGATTCTGCAACAACAACAACAAAAGAGATTTTCGTTTTTATTGTGTGTGTGTGTGTGTTTTTTTTTCATCCATTTCCCTCCAGAGTTACTACAACACTTTTACTCGACAACACCTAAGAGTATAATTAATGGCCGAGAAGCTTCGTCTGGTATTTTCCCATTAGAATATCTTCAAATTAACAATACGATGGAAGAGAGAAGCTTGACACTCGCACAGAGCCAAAATAGCCAAACGAGCCAACAGCGGACTTGTGTGACGAGACCTGCTCTCAATGCTTTTATACCGAGAGATAGGTATACAGAGTTCGAACAGAATACGGCTGATCGAAGCAGAAACTTGACAGACTTCAGAACTAAAGTTTTCTGGATTTTTTCCTGTTTGCAGTGTAGTTTTGATGTGGGGGAGCATCAAACCGGGAATTTCGACAACACGAGGTTGAAGTCACGTGGATGTGCAAATGCACATCAAAATGGACGTTTATTTGAGAAAAGCCCGGGATTATACGGACCACATCTGGATATTCAGACAACCCCAGGAATATGCATATCATATCAGGACAATCCGATAACCTCGAGTTTATGTGTACCACATCAGGACAGTCAGACAATGAGAGAATTACAGCTAAGCCCATGTGTCGAGCAAACGAGATTATGGAGACCGTTTGAAATGAGCATGCAACCTAGTACTGTCCAGAAACCAACTGTGAAGCACGCAACAATGACCAATGAACACATTCCAATTACATCCCCCATTTTCTCGGGCCTTTTCAGTGTTTCCTTTTCTCGTCTCGAAAAAAAGCCCGATAATCGAAGTTCCGCGTTTAGTGTCGTCAAGAAGAAATTTCTGAAATGTCCAAAATGTAAAGTTTCTTTTTCAAATAATGGACAACTTACTGGACATATGCGAATTCATACAGGTAAGGACCTCATTGTTTTTATTAAAATATAAACCATCCTCTTAAAATAATGGACAACTTTCCTTACCTGTACGAATTCCACACATATCCAGTCCTCATTGTTTTTGTTAAAGTAGTAACTTAGGTTTGATTTAGAATTTTAATTTCAACAACCAAGTTTCATCAGAAAAGAAGGTGTCAGTTGTTCATTTATTTGGTGATTTTATGTAAGGGAAGAAGAAACATAAAAATGGCAATCTGTTAAACCAATGTCGCTTTTCAATACATATATGTAACATGCACGATCGAAATATTTGACTAAGTTGGACAAAAAGTATACTTTTTATTTACTTTAAGCGCACGGCAAAACAAACAAAAAAAAATCCAAGAGGATGGGCAATATTTATGTTTGCATGTTTATATCCATGAAGTTTCAAACTAGCTCAGTTTAATGAAACTTCATGGATATAAACATGCATTAAACTGAGCTAGTTTGAAACTCCATGGATATAAACATGCATTAAACTGAGCTAGTTTGCCGAACGGAAATTCCAAAGTTCGAGCTTACGATACGTTGATGAACACACTATGTGCTTTCTGCTATAGGCAAGATATAAATATTACAGTCAATTCCGCTATTCATTTTAGAGTAGCGTGAAGGCAGTGGATGCTGCTGACCGGTTGACCTCCCTCTGGACAGTTCCGTTCACGCAAAAGCTGCATTAATCGAAGAAGAGAAAACACTCAGCAATCATGATAATTAAAATATAGAAGTTATTTACAGAGTGGTTTGAATTTCGCGCAAAGCTACACGAGGGCTATCTGCGCTAGCCGTCCCTAATTTAGCAGTGTAAGACTAGAAGGAAGGCAGCTAGTCACCACCACCCACCGCCAACTCTTGGGCTACTCTTTTACCAACGAATATTGGTATTGAACGTCACATTATAACCCCTCCCCCCACGGCTGAAACGGCAAGCATGTTTGGTGGGACGGGGATTTGAACCTGTGACCCTCAGATTGCGAGTCGAGCGCCCCCTAACCACCTGACCATGCTAGGTAGGGAAGACTAATAAAGCTTTTATTACTCAAATGTTTGTTTTAGAACAAAGTCACATCTGTTTACCTGTCGTGCCCAACGCGGGGAATTGAACTTCGAATTTTAGCGTTGTAAGTCCAGAAACTTACAGCTGTCCCATCGAGTGTACTCTTGTGCCGTTCAGGTTTAAAACACCTGATACAAAAAAAAATTAATTAATCTAGCCCTCTAGTGGCCATATTTTATATTTATAAAGCGTCGACTTTCAAGGATATTCCGAGGTTATTGATAGTCTACTTAAGTTGCACAACTATAACAAACAAACACACATTTTTTTTTCAAAAAATATCACAATTATAATTAAAAACTCAATCTGATTTTCTGAGAAAATTTCGATTTTGTAAAAAAAAAACTAATCCAAAAATGTAATTTGTTTTCCGACATTTTTTATGGTATAAAATGTTTGAAAAAATTGTTATTTCTTTCCATTAAGATTGTATATTTTCTCCTCACTTTTCCTAAGAAGGGAGACATTTTGATTGGTTCACGATTCTGTTTAAAACTGAGATGTAACTAACAGCACTATCTGAGTAGCCCCCCCCCCCACAATACTGGGTATCCGGACTATGAATCCGACTATTCGTGGTGGTTGCAAATATGCACTACGATCTTTGAAACTTGCCTCTCAGTGGCACAGCTGTATGTCTGCGGACTTACAACGCTAGAAAGCGTGTTTCGATACCCGTGGTGGGCAGAGCACAGATAGTCCGTTGTATAGCTGTGTGTTTAATTCCAAACAAACAAATATTTGAAACTGTGGTTCTACTATTTGGTAAAACAAGAGTAGTCCAAGAGTTTACGATGTGTGCTATTGATTAACTGCCTTCTCTCTAGTCTGTCAGTTTAAAATTAGGGTCGGGTAGACGCAGATGGCATAAAATTCCAAATAAGTTACAGTTACGTCTTTACTACAAACAACAACAGCAAAACATCACTAGAACTACCAGAAACTAATAATGAACGTTTTTTTTTCTTGTAGGGGACAAACCTTTCAAGTGCACATTCGAAAATTGTGGGAAGGCCTTCGCACGAAATGAGGAGCTAACACGACATCGGAGGATCCACAGCGGTGATAAGCCTCACGAATGTATGGTTTGTAAAAAACGTTTTGGCCGCAAGGATCATCTCAGCAAGCATCAAAAAACTCACTTGAAAACTTCGGAAAAGAAAACTCATTTTTGCAACTTTCCAGATTGTGGTCATATGTACACCAGGTCAGACGCACTGACCCGGCACCAGTACACTGCCCATGGGCTACGAAGTCAAAGTTCAATAACGCAGTATCAAAATTATAAAGAGAGTGACGTCTTCTCGTTTTAAAAACATAAAAAAACGTGGTGGCGAAAGGGCGAAAAGGGCGACATGAGGCTCAGGAATTAAAGTGAAGGGTGCAGTTTTGAAATGGTCAACCAATCGAAATGGTCAAACAATACCACCTTCTGACTTTCAGATAAAACTCCATAATTAAGATTAAGAAAACATTTGAAATATAAATGATATTTAATCTGTGATAAAAAAAACAGAGCTACAAGGATTGCAGGGCTACAAAGATTGCAGCTCTGAGGATTGCAGAGCTACAAGTTGTTCATTAGAAAAAACACCTTATGACCTACATGTAGATGCTAATAGATACGTTTCTGATTCATTATTCTCTTACGATGTCCAGCAGTCTTTTCCAAACATTTAGACGATGGGAATCTTTATCTGAAAAAAAGAGTCGTTCTGTGGTATTCGCCTTAAGAGGCTCTGCGGTAAACCTGTAGGCTGATAACACTAAAAATCTGGTTTCGACACCCGCGGTGGGCTGAACGCCGTAGCTCTATGTGTAGCTTTGTGCTTAACAACAATAACAAAACAAAAAAAAACTTCGTAATTTTCTTTACATTTCTATTTACACTTTCTCTGGTTTCGTTGTTTTTCCGTCTTCTTAAAATCGTCTAAAATTAAAAACTCTGTATATCTAGAAAACTTAAATGAAGATCTAAGATCATAGAGTAATATTTTAACCACCACCTAGTGGAATATTTCAGAACTATCATGGAACACGCACACAAGTAATGAAGTCTTTCTAAAGAAGGCGACAACAGAAACATATGTTTTATAGGACATATCAATGGAAAAGGAGGCACTGAAAACATCATTATGACAGAAAAAAGTCCCAGGAAAGAACAGTAAAGGAAGACAAAGACAGGTAGGTGTCAATTGCCAAGAAACTAGGAATTGGCAATATAGAACTGATTAGAGCTAACGGGAGACAGGGATCAGTGGACGACCATTCTCACCAACGCCCTAGATGGGCGTGGTACTTAGAGAGAGGGAGAGATTAGAAAGTTTGGATATTAAACTTGTGTAAAGAATGTGATTTCTTTTCCTTAGTTACATCGTCAACACTAATTTTTGTGATAAAAGAAAAACTTGCTGGACCTGATATCAAAGCATCAGCTGGTTTGTTTGTTTGTTTGAAGTTAAGCACAAAGCTACACAATGGACTACCCTTGCTCTGCCCACCACGGGTATCGAAACCCGGTTTCTAACGTTGTAAGTCCTCAGACATACCGCTCAGCCACTGGGGGGGGGCGCATCAGTCTTGCAAGTAACACAAATTAGTTTTAAAACTATTTAAAGAGTTTCAAAGAAACTAGCGAGTATGTTATACTATAGTTCAGAGGAACTTAATTAGGAATTCTAAGTTGCCAACTTGTAAATTAAAAAAAATAATAAACTTTTAAAACAAGCCCATAATAAACAGTCTATTTACTCATGTACCAACGAGTTATGGTGAATTCAAATTTTGATTAATAAAAACTAAGTATTGTATTGTGTATCTTGGGGTTTTAATTGTATGTCTTAGAACTGCCAAAAAGGTCATTATCGAAAACAGCGAGTTTGGTAAGGTTTTTCACAGCTTAAGACTCAAGACCCATAGGGATGTGAATCAGGGGAACAGTCCCCCCCCAATTTTTAAGGGGGGGTGTTTTTGGCTGAAGAAACAAGTAACAAAAATAGCTATGTTGGATCATCATAGATTCATTCCAAAGAAAAATGTTAAATTATAAAATTCGAATATTCTTACACTAAAAATTTCATTTCATTCGGCCCGGGTTATCCCTTGGCTTATCTAAGTAGCAAGTTGAGCTTTAAAAAAACACAAAATGAGTGTTAATCCACCTAAAAAAAACCTAAAAACACACTCATTATTCCATTACACTTGTTCTTTCAGAAGGTCAGAAGTAACGGGAAATCGCTTCTAGATTTAGAAATTTTCTGATGAAACAAGACTTTCCTTCGTGGGCCGGCGAAGTCCCCTCCTCCCCCTCAAAAAAAAAAAAGAAAGAAAGAAAACGCTCACGTATTTGGCACTTATCTTCGGCGCAAATTTACACAAGGGGCTATCTACGCTGCGTTCACCATAGGTGATCGAGTCCTGGATTTTAAAGTTATAAGTCCTGAAACTTCCTGCTGACCCACTGGGAGAACTCCATCTTCATCAAAGTCAACATCTATGTCTTGAATTGACTGGTGACTGTATACGAAGTAACTTCACAAGCTTAATGCTGTAAAGAAGAAGAAAAAAATGCTCATTTTACAAGACAATGATTTTTTTTTCTCTTAAAATATACATACACGTATTTATCTAGCATGGATTCTAAAACCAGATAAAACAAAAATTTTATTTCGCGTTAGCTTATCAGTAAGATTCCTATTTATATATGTGTGCATATGAGTAACTGATATTGCAAGTCACGTGATGATAAACTAGACAGTACAGCCCCATTGGATATGTTTGTTGGAGATAAAATTGCCACCTGGAGGCTAATTCATAACGTAATTAAAAATAACCGCTTTTATCATTTACTGTTTTGTAGATCATATCTTGTTTAATTACCGGAACGAACTTTGTAACATTTATGATATTACTTGGCTTTAAACCGATATTCTTGGTCCAAAACCGTCTCATTTTAGCCTCGAATATCAATATCCATTTATAAAGTATGAAAATCCAATTCATGTTGCGCGATTTTTTGTCTATGAGGACGTTACAATTTTGAAGCCAACGTGACCAAACTTCACAGGGGGACTCGGTGTTCTTATCTATATAACGAAGGGGAGATAAAATGCGCCCTTAAGGCATGAAGGGGGCCTAGGAATAAGTTTGCAGGACCGCTCTGGTATCAGATATTGTGTTCTTAGCCCCCTTGGGATTCCAGGGGGTTTCATTTGTTGTTGCTAGTGGTAAAACAAATAAGAATTTAGGTTGTATCTATAGAAATACTGAATACAAGTCTAAAGAGGTTATGATGTCATTGTACAGGTCACTGGTTAGGTCAAACTTGAAGAACTGTGTTCTTCAGTCTTGGGTTCCTTACCTTAGAAAGGACATTAAATTCTTGAAAAGGTTTCAGAATTAAGCTAATAGGCTGATACCTGAGATGAAAAAAAATGACCGTAAAATGATAATTTAAGACCTCTGAAACTCACAAATTAGAAGGTCTAATCTTGTCTCACGTGCTCAGGTACCAAGTGTAGATGCTATAACGGGTTTTTTCGTCAGGTGCGGACCTCCTTGAAGTAGCTATAGAAGCCATTTGGAATAATCGAGAAGCTTCATCAATACATGGAGACCTCAGTGAATCATGAGGGGACCTCTCAACCCCACCATGGAGCGCGAAAATTTTATCCTAGTTCTATGTTAACACACATTATGTTTTATTTTGTTTATATCAACGATTTCTACCCCCCCCCACTAGTTTTAAAACTAGTAAAACTAAACTAGGCGTTTAGTACCGTACCAAGAGGTGGGAAAGTACTTAGGCATGATGGGGGGGGGGGTTAAGGGTATGACTTCAGGGTTGTTGATCCAGAATCTGTAATTTAATTTTGTGTTCTTGACCCTTAACCTTAGATATCCCGGGGGGGGGGGTTGTCTCGTTTGAAACTATTTGTACTCCTACTCACAAGCTAGCGGAACCAAAAGTGACAGAAGTACCACGGACGGATGTTGTTTTCGGGTTCAAGTATTCTAGAGGATAAGACCTCTACTAGTTAAATACGGTTTTATAAACACAAGTTTATAATTCATGATGTTTAAGATGGTAATTGTCATATCGAAATATCAAAGAAATACATAGTTGAACATGTCAAAATAACAAAATATAAATAAATAAATTATCATGTCGAAAATAAATATAAACATATATTAAATGATTTATATAGTTCTTGTATAAAATCTAGGCTTAGTAACAAAACGCTTTACTAGATGCCGCCACAAGAACTAATTTTTGTGAATAATTTGAGAAGCTGCTACGCGTTTGGGATTTATTCAAGTATGAACAGGTAGGAAATAGTAAAGCTAAAAATATTAGAAGTTTATCTTAAAAGGAATAGTGCCGAAAAGAGAAAGGTGTTATGATTACAGAAGATCGCACAACGGCCATCTGTACATAGCCGTTTCCAATTTTGAGATGTCAGGCAAAACGTAAAGCAGTTAGCCAACAATTCTTGGACTACTATTGCATGACCAAAATATAGGTATTTGATCGTTACTCTTATAATGCACTCACGGCTTTAAAGTACAGAACGCGTTTTTGTGGCAACGATACGCAAACCATGGACCCTAGGATTTATAGTCTGAGCACGTTAACCAATAGGCTATGCCTGATCATAAATGTAGCTAATGTAGATATATTGAGTCCAAAAGGAGCAGAACTCCGTCATTAACGATCATGTATAGTAAATCGTGATTCCCTTGTCGAACACAATCGGGCCCTGGTATGGCCCATGCAGGGTACTCGACTCGCAATCTGAGGGCCGCGGGTTCGAAACCCTGTCCCACCAAACATGCTCGCCCTTTCAGCCGTGGGGGCGTTATCATGTTACGTTCAATCCCACTATTCGTTGGTAAAAAGAGTAGCCCAAGAGTTGGCGGTGATGACTAGCTGCCTTCCCTCTAGTCTTACACTGCTAAATTAGGGACGGTTAGCGCAGATAGCCCTAGTGTAGCTTTGCGTGAAATTCAAAACAAACAACCGTTAAAGAAGAACTTAGTTAGATCAAGAAAATTGACGCAACTTTTTCTCTCTCTCTCTCCATCGGAAAGAAAGACAGAAAAAAAGTCACACTTTATTTAGCTGTTCATCGTTACTAACATCCAATTAACATCAGTGAACATCTTATTTTCCAATACTCAATAAGTTTATAACTTTAATATTGTGAACATTGTTTATATATTTACATACGAAACACCCCGCAATTACATAAGTTACTTTAATGAAATTAAACAAAAATATTTCCAAACACACCATCTTTATACATCAGAGACCCCTAGTGTAGAAAGTTATTAGTTACTACAATGTAGAAAACAAAGCGTTACTTAAAGCATTTTGATGCTTGAAATAAAGTTTAATTCACCGATAAGATGTTTGTTTTAGTGTTTTTTTTTTTAGAGCAAAACCACACTGGGCTATCCGCTGTGTGCACCATGAGAATCGAGCCCCGGATTTAAGCTCTGTAAGTCCGTAGACTTTACCACTGTCCCACGGGGGGGGGGGGGGGAGATGATAACTTTTGTATAGCACTTGTATTTGTGAAAGATAGATAACCGAACACAAATACAAGTAATTTTTATAAAAACAACCACAGCGTACATTATTATACGAAGGGATTTATAAATATCCCGAAATACATAATACAAAAAAAAAGGTGATTATTTAACTAACCACAAACTATACGCCAATAAACCTTTTCCATTACAGCTTTTTAAAAGATATTTATGATGTGGTCCCCCCAGTGGCACAGCGGACTTACATGGCTAGAATCCGGGTTTCGATACCCATGGTGGGCAGAGCACAGATAGCCCATTGTACAGCTTTGTGCTTAATTACAACAAATTTATTTTATGCAGAGCTACACCAATGGACTATCTGCGCTCTCTCCAACATCAGGAATCGAACCCCGGATTTTAGCTGTGTAATTTCGCAAACTCACCGCTGATACTTTACTAGGAAGCAATTTTTAACTATGAAAAAAAAGCTGCGAAAAAAATAAATGCATTGACAAAGAAACGAACGCCGAATTAGATACAATCACTAGATAAACTGCTAAATTAATCTTCTTTATTTAATTTTTTACCTCCTCCGTAAATCTATCACCCCTCTTATATCTTAATTGCATCCTTCAGACTTGAATCTTATCTATACGTTCCGCGAAGCGACGTAAGCGCTCAAATTGGCAACTTGCCAATACATTTACTATCACGGTTGATGTTTTAAAAGACGAAAAAGTTGATGATAAGTTCATTTAGATGACATATCTGTGAGTAGTTTTATTTTAATTATACAGCCTTGGCTGCATGGCTTAAAAAATAAATTTGTTGATTTGTTTGTTACTAAGCCCTAAGCTACAGAATGGGCAATCTGTACTGTTGGTTAGACCTTTCTCAAACTTCTAGCAATCAGAAACAAATGTAGTTCGATAAAACAATCCTTCGGCGATATCATTCATACAAAATAAAAATAAAAGAAACCTTACTATTTCGTAGTTTTTTTATTAAATATTTTATGCACTAACGGGCTATCTGTGCTGTGCCCACCGTATGAATTGAGCTAAAGAGCTAATCTAACAGGCTGGTTTGCTGGAAAAATGATGTATCTTAACAGCTCTTTTAAAGTAGTATTTGCATTGGTAATGTTTTATGATTACTTAATCATACATATATTTATTTATCCAATATATATCAACCACTAGATGGCTCTGAAATCGAAAAAGCCTTAAAAAACAAACAAAAACAAACACCGTGACGCTAGAACCTACAACACCAGTAATATTTCCAACCTTTGGATCCCTGGTAGAGACACGGGGATTTTGTTTTTTCTTGGCTACGAGATTACTATCATAAATATTTAACCAAGTATTTTTTTAGGCCTGGAATGGTCAAGTGGTTAGGGCGCTCGACTCGCAATCTACGGGGTTGAGTTTGTTTGTTTTTGAATTTCGCGCGAAGCTACACGAGGGCTATCAACGCTAGCCGCCCCTCATTTAGCAGTGTAAAACTAGATGTTTTTTTTTTTGTTTTTTTTTCGGGAACCACATCGAAAGTGTTCACTTCTGATTAACGTCACCAACAGTAAAACTTTTCTCGAAGAAGAAAGACAAAATCACTTGTTTTTGTTTCAGTAGCGATGTGTTCAAGCGATTAAACTTGCTATTAAAGTTTGTTTATTCGAAAATTCGTTTTATTTTGTTTAATGAAAAGAAACTGGCTTCGTAACACTATGCATGTTTTCACCGCTTCAGTGAAGTTACCGTATTTTCACCGCTTCAGTGAAGCTACCGTATTTTCACCGCTTCAGTGAAGCTACCGTATTTTCACCGCTTCAGTGAAGCTACCGTATTTTCACCGCTTCAGTGAAGCTAGCGTATTTTCACCGCTTCAGTGAAGCTACCGTATTTTCACCGCTTCAGTGAAGCTACCGTATTTTCACCGCTTCAGTGAAGTTACCGTATTTTCACCGCTTCAGTGAAGCTACCGTATTTTCACCGCTTCAGTAAAGTTACCGTATTTATTTGCACTGTAAATATTCTCATTTTTGAAAATTGAGATTAAAAGAAAAGAATTCGTATTTTTATATTTATCAAAAAAATTCATTAATTACATATGCGCCAAATGTTTTGTTTGCATGTTGGATATTGCGCGATTTGCCATAACTGTTTTTAATTGTGTAGTTATAAACTAGAGAGAAGGCAGCTAGTCAACACCACCCACCTCCAGCTGTTGGGCTACTCTTGTGAGGCCGAATAGTGGGATTTCACCGTCACTCTTGTAACACACCCACGGCCTCAAAAAAAAAGAAAAACTGAGATTTTTTTTTTTTTACAGTAACGGGACACGAACCACGAATTAACAGTCCACTGCTTTCAATAACGTTATGGTGGTGGTGTTTAGCGCAAAGATACGCCACGTTTATTGTATTTTGCTGTCCTAGCAGAATTGCGAAAGTCGGGCCTGATTAATGAGTTTGTCATTTGCATTCTAGTTAAAAAAAAAAAAAATACAGGTTGTGATACAGAGTATGCTATAATTAGCCCTCGTATAGTTTTGCGCGAAATTCCAAACAAACCAAAACCTTTGTACGAATGGAATGATTTAACATTGTTTTATTAAGGTTTTGCTAGTGTGGTCATGAATTTATTGGCCAGTAAAAATGTTGTATTTATACATATTTATCAAGTTAGGGCTGGTGCAGAGCTGAATAAACGCCATTGATGTAATACAGGTATTTATGAAATATATTCATACACTAGCGAACCCGTAGGCCTATGGCCCATACTTATAGGGCCGCTATAATACAAATTTAATTTATTTAACCAAGTTATGAACGGTTATTAGTAGGCCTACTTATTTACGTACTCTAATGTTTGTTTGTTTTTTGAATTTCGCGCAAAGCTACACGAGGGCTACCTGCGCTAGCCGTCCCTAATTTAGCAGTGTAAGACAAGAGGGAAGGCAGCTAGTCATCACCACCCACGGCCAACTTTTACCAACGAATAGTGGGATTGACCGTCACATTATAACGCTCCCACGGCTGAAAGAGCGAGCATGTTTAGTGTGACGGGTATTCGAACCCGCGACCCTCAGATTGCGAGTCGAGCGCCCTAACCACCTGGCCATGCCGGGGCCCTAATCACCTGGCCATGCGTATTCTAATGTAAATCAATACCCAATTTGTGGACTGCTTTTGGGGAATCCTCGTAAAAATGTTTTCACAAAATACCAGGGTTCCCTTTGTGCAAACTTTGGAGCCGAGAAAATACATGTGACAACATTTAAAAGTTGGTGAGCCCAGCAACTCAGGAAATGAGGTTTTCAGAAAATCCTCAGGTTTCCCAGGGGGTGGGTGGGGGGTTAGTTTGTGCAAATGTCGGACCCGAGAAATTCATGTGATAACATTTAAAAATTGGTGAGCCCAGCAAATCCCCAGGTTCTCCAAAGGGTGGGGTGGAGGGGTGAAAATTTTTACCTTTGTGCAAACCTCGGGATTGAGATCATTTGTTTGATACCACTTAGAACGATTTAGGACACACACGCTGAATCTTATTCTATAAATATACATGTCATTTCTGTATCTGAAGTAACTGATATTTCCAAAAGCACGTAAATAATAATTGTTCTAGAAATGACTTTTCTTCTGGAAACTTTCGACTTGTATTTGTGTAACAGCTGACCTTCACGTTATATCAGTACGGTATCACAAAATATTCTACACACTTTAAGCTGTGGGTGCGTGATAAAAATGACAGCCAATCACTTAGCATGGATTGTAGGGTGCTACCGACTGGCTACCTTCCGTCTGATTTGAGGCTTTCCAGTGGCTCAGCGGTAAGCTTGAGGGCTTATAATACTAAAAAACCGAGGCTGGATACCTGTGGTGGGCTACTTGTAGATAGCCCACTTGGTAGCTTTACGATTAAACACACAAAGAAATAAATCATCTGGTTAGTAATTCAAAATTAGGAACAGCTTTGTCATAATTTGCCGCATGGCGGCGCTACGAAATATTAACGATTTCAAATTTAAGTCAGCTGGATATTATTTTCAAGAAACGTAGAATATAATTATTAATAAAGTCGTTCTATCATTATATATTTTATATTTATATGTGTATTTTCTCCATAATCTCTGGATAGACGATATTTCACCATGATATTAAATTTTTCTTATAACATAAATTCAAGATGGAGAGTAAGCGAACGCAATTTTAAAAGTTTTTACTTCCAGTAATGTAATATTGTTAAAGGTGAGTTCGTGACGTTTGTAGCGATGGTAGACTGTTAAAATGGAATAGGAATTAAGAAAAATGTCCAGGAATAGTTTGAAAGTAAAGTAAAGATATCATTTAAGAGGAACGTAGGGGGAGAATAAAAAGGATTTTTCCAGTGGTTATGAGATTTCTTTAACTATATAAATATATATCCTCGCACACAGAGACATGTATCCAATTTCGTAGAAATTACGTGCTTCGCCTGTAAGGGTTAAAATGATTTCTAAATTAGATCTTAGAATAAAGAAAGAAAGAAAAAAAAAAAACGTTTCAGCAACACAAACGTGAGTAAAATGGAGAATTTAAAAAATATTCCGATAATTATCCCCCCCCCCCTCCACTGGCACAGAGGTAAGTCTGTGGACTTACAACGCTAGAAACCGGGTTTTATATTCTGAGAATTATCTGAAAGTTTAGCTTTGGAATTGAGTGTTTTGTGTAGATGGCGAAGAGCTGCCATGAGTCCAAAACTTAAGGTTTCGCCCCCCCCTCCCTCCACTGGCACAGAGGTAAGTCTGCGGACTTACAACGCTAGAAACCGGGTGTTTTAATATCCGTGATGGGCAGAGCACAGATAGCTCGTTGTGCTTAACTTCAAACATACAAACTTAAGGTTTCAACTAAATTTCTCAACTGAGTGAAACGAGAAGATAAAATACGAAGTTTTATCGAAAGAAAATTTTTGATATTCAAATAGAAGGTTTCAGGTTTCAGAGTTAACGAAAATAAAATTCGAAAAACTTTGAGATGAAAAAAAATATTCATATTTCAAGTGTGTCCCGGTGAGACAGCGTTAAGTTTCACAGGCTAACCACTAAGGCATTAAGTAAAAGAATAAAATAAGGAATTTTGTTCATTGTCCAATTCCTGAGTAATGATTTGAATGTGTGTGAGCGCTCTGTAAGTTTAAACTTATAGTTTAAAAGCTGCTCTGTTATCTTTTTAATATCTTCTTAAAATCTAATCCTCGAATAAAAATCATTATTGTTTACAAACAACAAAGCAATACCCGTTCTCCCAGATCAATTGATTAAACTTCAAATGTCCGCGTTGCAACTTTTTCTCAGAGGTCACTGAAGCAGAGTTTGATCCCACAGTGGCACAGCGGTATGTCTGCGGACTTACAACCCTAGAATCCGGGTTTTGATACCCGTGGTGGGCAGAGCACAGATAGCCCATTGTGTAGCTTTGGGCTTAATTACAAACAAACTAATTCATACATATTGTGACTCCCAGTGACACAGCGGTATGTCTACCGACTTACAACGCTAGAAACCGGGTTTCGATACCCGTGGTGGGCCGACCACAGATAGCCCATTGTGTAGCTTTGTGCTTAACTTATAAGATAAGACGTTTCTAACTGACAGGAAGCCAAACTATTTAAATTACGTAATAAGTTGCTATGACATCAGTGCGTGACCGAGAGACAGACAGATACACACTGTGTTTTATAGTATTACATTTTTGGTGCTACAGACAAGCAGCAACACTGTTGTCTAGAAATTGTGTAACATGTGTAGCATCTCAAACATTGCTATATCTATTGTACTCCAAGCCGGCGTAAAGAACCATGGTATTGAGCGAGAGGCCTTGTCGGCACTGGATATGGCAGATATAGTGTGGTTGACATGTTATTACACACTCTCTTCTTTACTTTCACCCATAAATTCTTATTCATAAATTCAATAATTATTTTCTTTTAAATTGAAAAAAAAAATTAGCTATGCGCTCAAATAAAAACGACATGCAAACATTGTTGCTGTTTTTTCATAATTGTTGCCTTAATCCAAACATAGATGGCGGTCTATGCAGTATTTTAAATTGATTATGAAGTGTGTGTGTGTGTGTGTTATTTCCTTCTATAAAGTTTGTCTGTTTCTTGTTCGCCACAAAGCTGCGTATTGGGTAGTGTGTGTGCTGTTTCCATCGTAGGGATCAGACCCTGAATCTTAACATGTAGACTTACTTCCGAGCCACCGGGAGCTAGGAGAAGGGTGTTCTTCTATAAAAAATATGTCTTGATATTAACAAAACATACCGCCTATCTATCTATTTACTAATCTCTTTCACTGTTTGTCTCTCTAATCAGCTGTCTGATTCAATTAAATATTGTTGTTGTTTTTTATCCTAGCGGGAGACATGGGCAAACCTCTACAATTTTATAAGAACATGGCTCAGAAAGAACGCCCAACATAGAATCCACCCTAATAGACAGACACACTCACTTCATTCAGTATTGGAGCGCTACACCTACATTACACGCATTACGCTCAATAAATCCAACGTCTTCACGGCAAGAAATCTCAGAATATTAGCAAAAAAAAACTAAAAAACTCTTGCTTCTACAGCTGTTTCAGAAGGCCGCAGCGACGTCTACCGTGAGACATCCATATCATTCTTTTATTCCACGAAAGAAAAAAAACCTTTCATCCATTTCTTTGGCTAATTTAACATCTGGTTCCAGGATATTTAACGGCTGTGGCCTTACTAAAGGCAAGTGTTCCTGTCGGACTTCAAATTGTTTATGTGCGTCTATAAATATAGGGATAAACACACACACACGAAAGGAAGAATATATATATATAACCCATTTATCATTAAAGTTGTTTGACACGAACCACGTGCCCTCCTACGCTCTAAGCAATGCGTGTAAAACGGCCCATACGAAATGTTGTTTTAATCCTACTACTCTCGTTCTAGGACTTCTCGCTGATTCAAAGAAACGAACTCGGTATTAGGATACTTTGTGATACTTCAATAATTTACTCGAGCCCGTATCCATAGTTGAAAACCCGCGGGAAACAGAACGTTATAAACTTTTATATTCATATTCATATTTTATATATATTTGTTTAAATACGCGGCCAGAAACTTCGCAAGTATTCCATTTTTTAACAAATTAATAAGTGTTAAAATAGCCCCCGCCCCCCCAGTGGCACAGCGGTATGTCTGCGGACTTACAACGCTAGAATCCGGGTTTCGATACCCGTGGTGGGCAGAGCATAGATAGCCCATCGTGTAGTTTTGTACTTGATTACAAACAAACAAAACGTGTTAAAATAATAGTTAATAGTTTTAGCTAGATAAAATGACTCTTCTTTATCATGTTAAGATTGTCTGTTTGAAGTTAAGCACAAAGCTTCACAATGGGCTATCTGTGCTCTGTCCACCACGGATATCGAAACCCGGGTTCTAAGCTCGCAGACATACCGCTGTGCCACTGAGGGTCGCGAGTTCGAATCCCCGTCCCACCAAACATGCTCGCCCTTTCAGCCGTGGGGGCGTTATAATGTGACGGTCAATCCCACTATTCGTTGGTAAAAGAGTAGCCGAAGAGTTGGCGGTGGGTGGTGATGTCTAGCTGCCTTCCCTCTAGTCTTATACTGCTAAATTAGGGACGGCTAGCGCAGATCGCCGTCGTGTAGCTTCGCGCGAAATTCAAAAACAAACAAACAAGACTTGTTCTTTTCCAGGGTTGCTGATGACTGGAAGAACTCAGTGACCAAATTACAGATTAGGTTTCATATTTTATGACTGGTATTGGCAGATTGGGAGTCGAGCGCCCTAGCCACCTGGCCACCCCGGGCCAAGAACAAGTCGAAAGAGAAAAAGAAAAACAGCTGTTTCTATTCCCAGAGGCATAAATCACACTGAACAATCTTTAACACAATTTACAATAAATGGTATGTGGTTTGTGGGGCGTTTCTTTAACACAATTTACAATAAATGGTATGTGGTTTGTGGGGCGTTTCTTTAACACAATTTACAATAAATGGTATGTGGTTTGTGGGGCGTTTCTTTAACACAATTTACAATAAATGGTATGTGATTTGTGGGGGTGTTTCTTTAATACAATTTACAATAAATCAATAAAATTAAAACTTTTAATATTTCGTCAGATTTATTTGTTTCCCCTGTCTCCTAGTAACGGTTTGTTTGATTTTGTAATTTCTCGTAAAGCTACGCGAGGGCTATCTGCGCTACCCTTCCCTAATTTTCAGATGATAGCCTAGAGGGAGCTAACAAGTGAATGTTACCCACAGCTATATCATGAGCTACTCTTTTATCAATTAACAGTGGAATTGACCGTCACATTATAATGCTCCCACGACTGAAAGGATGTGTAAGTTTGGTGATGTGACTCGAACCCGCGACCTGCAGATTGCGAGTCGAACCCCCAAACCATCAAGCTTTTCCTGGTAATAAAAAAATGACCGGTCGCGAAAATTTTAAAATAATTTCAGCGATATGTATTGTTAAGTTTCGGGGTGTGGGCAATAATATTCGCATAGAGGGCGCTCATTTCTACTCTATCCATTAAATTACCTCAGCATAGATTGTAAAGAGACTTCATTATGTTATTTCTACA